GCCCCGGACGGTGCCCTGCGCCTCTCCGTCCCTGCCCCGGTCCCCCTGAGCCCTGGGCCCTTCCCATCTCCACTGTCCCTGTCCCCGGATTGTCCCCCTCCGTTCACCGCCACGGGTCCCCGCTCCAGCGTGTGCTGGGCCCCTCCTTCTTGCAGCTTGCCTCCCTACGTTTTCTGCGTCTCTTCCGAGTCTGGTCCGCGTCCCCATCTTGGTGTCCCCTGCTGGGCGGTGCCTTATCTCCCCACCCCCTACCTTCTACGAAGTCCTTCCCCCACCAGCGTCCATCTTTGTGGTCCCCACCACTAGCTGTGCCCTGCCTCACCCTCATAGACCCCCTCTAGTTCCCACAGATTGACTCCCCCACTCACTGTTCCCTTGGGGAAGACATCACATCTCTCGACCCTCTGTATTCCACTATGTCCACAGGCCTGGCCCGCCTTCTCGTCTGCTCTCCGGGCCACCCAGCCCTCACTTGCACCGCCTGTCCCCTCTCCCGTCTTTCAGAGACCCGCTCTGGGAGTCTGGCTGTGACGGGTCTGGGAGTCTGGAGCCTTTCCCATGGCGGGTTGTTTGGGGGATACAGAGTAGGAGAGAACAGCCAGCCTGGGGTCCCGCTCTTGAATACAGGGGAGGGGAAGCCAGCCAGACTGTGCCCCTGGGCGCTCCTCCTGCATTGAGGGCTCTTGCCACTAGGCAGAGTGACCCCCATCCGGCTCAGGCAGGGCAGGGTGTAGGGCAGGCTGTGCAGACCTGTGGTACAGACCGAACTCACACTGAACAGGGCCACTTACAGGCACACAACTCCTAAACCCACCTAGACAGTCCCCTTAGCCCCAGCACCCAGATCCTTCTGAATAGGTGTGAAGCCCAAGAAACCTTTTGGCTGTCTGTGTGTTCCTGCCCTAGACAACAGGGCTTCGAGGTTATCTCTGGAATGGTCAGACTGTGTGCATTCAGCTGGGGTGATGTCCCTCAGAACTGGGCTAGGTTGGGGGAGACCTTCTGCCCACCCCTGGTGACCTTCCTCTCTTTCCAGGAGAACAAGGGGTCTGTGGAAATCATGAGAAAGGACTTGAATGATGCCCGGGACCTGCATGGCCAGGCGGAGTCAGCAGCTGCAGTGTGGAAGGCAAGTGGGGGGCCTGGGGGCAGCCTGGAATGAGGGGACCGGGGACTCAGGGCTCTAGACAAAGGGACCACCAGGCCAAGCAACTGCTCAGCTGGTTGGTTGGAGGAGGGGCCTCTGGACTTTAGTGAGTTTCAGGGTATTTTTCTAGGATGTGTTTGTATTTTTCAAATAGAATCTAGCCAAAGTCAGTGGAAGCCTCTTTTTCGCCTCACATTTTACCTGTAGGTGATGGCAGCATCAGACTTACTCTTTTTTTTTTTTTCAAGAGACAGAGTCTCATTTGGCTGAAGTGCAATGGCCTGCTTGTAGCTCACTGCAGCTCAAACTGGCCTCAGGCGATCCTCCCACCTCAGCCTCTGGGACTATAGGCATGTGCTACCACACCTGGCTAATTTTAGAATGCTTTTGTAGAGATGGGGGTCTTGCTGTGTTGCCCAGGCTGGTCTTGAACTCCTGGCCTCAAGCGATTCTCCTGCCTTGGCCTCCCAAAGTGCTAACTTTTTTTTTCTTTTAAAACACATCTGTAACTTTCTGTGGTCCTCTTGTTCTGATCTGAGAGTTGCTCATTCTTTTTTTTTAAAGGCTAGAAATCCAGGATCAAGGAACTGGCACGTTCTGTGTCTGTTGAGAACGCTTCCTGGTTCATAGATGGTGCCTTCTCACTGTGTCCTCACATGGAAGAAGTAAGGGTGTCTCTGGGGTCCTTTAAGGACACTGATTCCATTCTTGAGAGTTCCCCCCTTACAACCTCATTACCTCCCAAAGGTCCTGCCTCCTAACACCATCACCTTAGGGATGAGGATTTCAGCATGGGGATTTGGGGAGGCCACAGACATTCAGACCACAGCAGTGTTACTTTCCTTGGGTGCCTTCCACAGCATTACATCCCAAAGGGCAAAGGGACATCCCACTAGATTCTTTGAGGTTACTCACAAGTAAAGCTCTTCAGTCGTTTAAACTCCCTTTGGTGACTTTTTCCTCATGTGTAGTAAAAAATCTGTGTGCCATTTTCTCTGGGTTTCATAAATTCCTACTTCCTCCTTTTAACCTGAAAGACAGAGTGATTTTCAAAGGTGCAGCAGCTCTTGGGTAATTGGCTGCACCTCGAGGCTGAGGCCCGCATTTTTACCCCAGCTTGAGGCTGAGGTAGACTCTCTGTGTTCCCGGTGGTGCTGAGCCCTTGCCTACTCTCCACAGGCCTGAGGTGCAGGCCTCACTCAGACAGTGACAGGTGACACACAGAGTCCCTGATGCCAGTCGGACCCCTGGCACTCCACACTGCCCTTGGGGGCTGCTCTGAATTTCTCCTTGCCTTGTGAGTGGTCAACACTGCCCAGTGCAAGTGAGGCTGGAAGGCTTTGGGGACCTCCAAGTTTTCAATAACCGTGTGTTACCCCCAAGGGACTTGTTTTGCCCACAGGTTTTAGGTTGGAGTTTTCAATCTGTCCTGTTTTGGGGGTTGGTGGTTTAGATGCTGGGATGAGAGAAGCCACCTAAATTCAAAGGAAGGAGTTTGCAGTGTGCCGCATCAGCCAACCAGCAGACACCCAGCTGTCATTTGCATTCTCTCTCAGCAACAAAAGCCTTGGCTTCTCATGACTATGGCTGTCACCTGCCCTGTGTGGCCCAGGGCCAGGTGGAAGCCATCCATGACTCTGAGTAAAATCACAGTAGCATCCTCTGCTCTCTTGTTTCCAAGGTTAGGGGTTGGCTGGAAACCAGCTGAAGAGTGGCAAGTGTGAACGCTGTTTGTTGAAGGCTGATGGGATGGTTTTCAGCTGTTGGAGTTCTGGTGTGGGCACAGCAGGGACAGTTTCTGGCAAGATGGGTGTGTGTCCTGCCTTGACAGTAACGTGCCTGACAGGCTCTAGACCTAGCAGGGCCACTCAAGGATTTACTGTCCCCTTGGCCATGGGAGACGGGAGAGGAACTGTCTTCATGTGCAGCTGACCACTGCAGTGTCAGGGAGAGAGAACTCTACTTCTCCCCTTTCAGGGTCCCAGGCTGGGCCGGAGAATTAAACTGACATAAGCTAAACTAACAGGGCCAGGTGCAGTGGTTCATGCCTGTAATCCCAGCAACTTGGGAGGCTGAGGTAGGAGGATTGCTTGAGGGTAGGAGTTCGAGACCAGCCTGGGTAACATAGTGAGACCCCCATCTGTACAAAAATTAAGAAATTAGCCAGGTGTGGTGGTGCATCTGTGGTCCCAGCTACTTGGGAGGCTGAGGTGGGAGGATACTTAAGCCCAAGAGGTTGAGGCTGCAGTAAGCTATGATGGCACCACTGCACTCCAGCCTGGGTGACAGAGTGAGACCCTATCTCAAAAGGAAGATAGATTAGTGGGAGAAAAAACACAAGTTTTTTTTTTTTTTTTTTGAGATGGAGTCTTGCTCTTGTTGTCCAGGCTGGAGTGCTGTGGTGCCATCTTGCCTCACTGCATCCTCTGCCTCCTTGGTTCAAGTGGTTCTCCTGCCTCAGCCTCCTGAGTAACTGCGACTACAGGCATGTGCCACCACGCCTGGCTAATCTTGTATTTTTAGTGGAGATGGGGTTTCACCATGTTGGCCAGGCTGGTCTTGAACTCCTGACCTCAAGTGATCCACCCACCTCGGCCTCCCAAAGTGCTGGGATTACAAGCGTGAACCACCGCACTCGTGCCTGAGCAACATGTTTTAGAGTGGCATGTTCTTAACTCCTTCAAGAGGGAACAGGTTCCCCTTCGCCTGGGGAGAGTGGGCGAGGACACAGGTCTTTTCCTGCCACCTGTCTGCAGGGACACGTGATGGACCGTAGGAAGAAGGCACTGACTGACTACAAGAAGCTGCGGGCCTTCTTTGTGGAGGAGGAGGAGCACTTCCTACAGGAGGCTGAGAAGGAGGAGGGGCTACCTGAGGACGAGCTGGCTGACCCCACTGAGCGGTTCAGGTCACTGCTGCAGGCGGTGTCGGAGCTGGAGAAGAAGCACCGGAACCTGGGCCTCAGCATGCTGCTGCAGGTTGGGGATCCCCGCTGGGTCTGTCCACCATCAGGCCAGGGTGGACGTAGGCAGCAGCGAGCCACTGGGGGGCCATTGCCTGAGGTCAAGGCTTAAAAGCCCAGCCTGACTCCCACTGCTGTGGCCTTGCAGGGCTGATTTTGGGAATGGGTGGGTGGTCAAGGAAGGTGGTAGGAAGGGATTTTAAGTTGAGAAGGGTCCGAGGTGTCCCTGACCTTCACAAGGGAGGACACTTGGTATCCCAAGTGCCTGAGGCTTCTGCCTCGCCCTAGGGTTCTGAAGGCAGAAGCAGGCAAGAAACTCAGCCTCAGGGCTTTTCTTCTGCCTCTGCCCAGGGCCTGGCCTGAACCCCAGAGCCCGCAGCAACCCAGATGGCCCTGAATGGTTCAATTGCCTGTGCCAGCCATAGGTGACAAGGCTTTGGCCTTGGGGAGACAGAAGTCTGGGCTAGGCCCTGGGTTGGTTGTGCTCAGGACAGTACCTCATGCACTGTCTCATGTGCACTCTCTCTTGCTCTCTCTCACTCTCTCCTTTTGTCTTTGTCTCTGCCTCTGTGTGTCTCTTTCTCTGTTGTTTTGTGTCTCTGTCTTTCCCTCTACCTTCCCATGCAGTGATGGCGCCAACCGGCGGCAGTCCCAGAGTTGGAGGCAGGAGGGGATGGATCCTCATCTCCTTGGGAAGTGTCAGCGTGTGACTGTCAGGGAAGCGTGGAAGGCGCCCGGCCTTGGGTCCGTCTATATAGTTGTGTGTTTCAAGAATGTCCCTTTATCCTTCACCCTGAGGCGTGAGTGTTTTGGGGGCTACGAACACCTCCCGGTAGAGGCTGGACCTGAGGACCCTTCCGACCTGTGCCCGACCCTTCCTGAAGTCCTGGCCACAGCCCATCTTCCATGAGTCCCAGCAGCTCTGGGCCATGCCCTTCCTCTGTCACCTATCTGCCCCTCACCTTGTCATCCACGGACCCAGACCCTGCACCTTCCATGCGGGCCCACAGATCCTTGGCAGGTACCTGAGGTGCACCATTGAGTGTCGAATTTGGGGTTAACATCTAGAAAGAAGAACGCACATGAGGCTCTGTGAAGGCTGGAACTCAGGTCTTCAGGGAAGAGAAAGGAAGACTGGATTGCACCTTGATGCCTCCTGAGGAGGCAGCCCTCCTCTTGAGGTGGGCTTGGGCCCCGCCCAGCCTTATCCGCGTCGCTCTGTCCACCTCCCCGTTCCTGGCCCCCACCCTGCCTCTGTGTCTCCCAGAAGCCCTCCCTGTGCTCCACCTGCCTCCGTAGAAGGAACTCTCTTTCTCCTTTTTCCTGGGCGAGGGGGCTGGCAGGTGGCTAACCCCATTTAGCATCTCCAGGCCCTGCCATGGTGTCTCATCTTGCTGTTCTCTCTGGCTCTTTCTCTCTTCCCATTTCCTTTAGTAGTTGAATTTTGCAAAGCTCGTAGCAGTAGCTCAGTTGCCTGCAGCATCCTTGTGTGTAGATAAATTCGTCTAGTCGACAGAAACTCAGCACTGGGGACAGGATTGCAAAGTCTGGGACATAGATGCAGGCAGATGTTGAGATTTGGGTATAGCTGGGCTTGTGAGCAGTGCCTGTTTCCAGATGAAGCCTTTCAGCCTTTCCGAGTCCCTGGCCTTTGGTGCGATGTCTGTGAGTTTGACCTACCCAGCGTGTGGGCTGGTTCAATGTTGAATAAAGTGAGTTTGTGTCAGCTCGTTTGCTTCGTCTCCGTATGTCCACCTCTTCCCTCTGCTCTGGCCACCCTCCAGTGTCAAAGGAAAATTCCTCGTGACACTTGCTAAAGCATGGTGAGGAGATCTTTCATTGGGACCATGGAGATGGGTGTGGAGCCCTTTCCTTGGGGCCTCAGGGGAGATGGGACTCCACCCCGACACAGTAGGGCAGGGGTTGGAGAAGCCAAGGAGCAGTGTGGGGTCCATTGGTGGGAATGACTGTGAGGAGACATCAGGGCTGAGGGGGGTCTGGCTAAACCCACCTCACAGAGTCCTTGCTGCAGGCAGGCAGGGTGATCAGACATTGGTTGCAAACGGTCTGATAGGAACCCAGTCAGGTACCATTGAGGGTGGTCAGATATTATGGTTAAACCAAATTAGGGTTCTTGCTAAAACTGGATTTCATAAGAAAGGGCACAGAGGACCCTAGGAGAAGATTCCAGAGCCTGGCCAAGTAGATAATCTTTGTCAGCACGCCAACAACATCCCGATCCTGAGACCTCCAGTTTGTCTTTCTCACTGTCTCTACCTGCTGCAGTCTGCTGTCGTCCCCAAGTTTCCCTGCCCCTGCGCTGCACACCTGTGATGCATGCCTGGCCAGGTCCTGATGGGACAGAGTCTCCTGCAACATCAAAGTGTCTCCACATCACCAGGTCCAACAGTGGCTTCACCATCCTCACCTAATCTAGCTGACCAGCAACATCCCACCCTGTCAATCACAACCTGTTTCTATTTGAAAAAATTATATACTTATGGGGCACAGTGTGATGTTTTGATACCTGTACATTGTGGAATGACAGAATCAAGCAGATTCATGTATCCATCTCATGTTTTTTTTTTGTGGTGAGAACATTTGAAATCTACACTCAGCAATTTCAAATACAGTCATAGTCATCCCTCTGTGTCCAAGGGGCATTGGTTCCAGGACCCCTTCCTGGATACCAAAATCCGCAGATGCTCAAGTCCCCTGCAGTCAGTCCTCCCTCTGCACGTATGTGGGACACTCAGATACAAGGGCTGACTGTGTACAGTACACGGTTATCAGCTGAAGTCACCATGCTGTGCAATAGACCTTGAGTTTATTCTTGTATAACGGGAACTCTGTACCCTTTGACTAGAATTTCCCCAAATCCTCTTGTCTCAGCCCCTGCTAACTACTGTTCTATTTCTATAAATCAACATTTTGATTCCACATATAAGTGAGAGCATGTGATATTTGTCTTGGCTTATTTCACTTTAATAATGTCCTCTAGATTCACCCATGTTGCAAATAGCAGGGTTTCCTTTATTATGGCCAAATAGTATTCCATTGTGTGTATATACCACATTTTCTTCATCAATTTTTCCACTGTATCCCTTTATCCACTTTGCTTCTAGACCACATAGGTTGATTGCCTATCTTGGTTGTTGTAAAAGTGCTGTAAGAAACACAGTGTGGGTATCTCTTCCACATATTTATGTCATTTCCTTTGGGAAAATACTTAGCAGTAGGATTGCTGGGTCACAGTACTCAAATTTTTAAGTTTTTGAATAACCTCCATATGTTTCTCCATAATGGCTATAATAATTTACATCCTCGCCAACATTTGTTGTCTTTGAAATTAGTCATTCTAAGAAGTGTGAGATAATCTCATTGTGATTTCGTTTGCATTGCCCTGATGATTAATGATGTTGAGCATTTTTTCGTATACCTGTTGGCCATTGGTGTGTCTTCTTTTGAGAAATGTCTCTTCAGGTTCTTTGTCCATTTTTTAGTTGTTTATTTGCTTTCCTGCTATTGAGTTTGAGTTCCATGTATATTTTGGATATTAACCCCCTACCTAATGTATGGTTTGCAAATATTCTCTCCCGATTTGTGAGTTGTCTTCACTCTGTTGATGATTTCCTTTGCTGTGCAGAAGCATTTTAGCTCTATGCAATCCTGTTTGTTTATTTTCTTTTGTTGCTTGTGCTTTTAGGGTCACACGCAAGAAGTGATATGACCCTAAAGCCTAGGCCAGTGTCATGGAGTTTTTCACCTGTGTTTTCTTCTGCTGGCTTTACAGTTTCAGGCCTTACAATTAAGCCCTTGTCTGTTTTGAATGGATTTTTGTGTAGGGACATTCCCTCCACAAGGGCTTCCTCTGGCCTTGCTGATAATCCTCCATCTCCCTTGTGTCCTCTCCACTCCACCCTCTTCATGTGGATGGACTCTTGGCATCCTCATGTGGCCTCTCTGTCTTACCCAGACCCCCATGGTGACCTCACACTTGCCTCTCCGACGTGGGTCTCTCTTCCAAACCCTCTTCCAGGTCCAACCACGCCTTCATCCCAGACTCACCCAGGGGCCCAATCCCTGCAGTCCTCAGACAGACATCTCAGAGCTGTCTCTGAGTCGTCTTCTCTAACAGTCCACAGTAGGTCTGCAAAGGAATCCTGCAGGCTTTTCCTGTAGCCACAGACCTTGACCTCCTCTTAACTGCTCCCCGCCAGTCCCCCACCGTGGCCCACTGGCACTGTCCTCTACTGCCCAGGAGACCTGGAAACCTCATCTCCTACCCCTGCTCCAACAGTGCATTCTCAACCCCACAGGTAGATGGGTTTCTACCTTAAAATATGTAGGATGAACCAGTCTGGTGATCTGATGTACAACAGGAGGACTGTAGGTAATAAAATTGCACTGTTTTGGGAGTTCCTGCTAAATGACTAGACTTCAGCTACTCTTGCCACAAAATTCTAAAAATGGTTGACTCTGGGAGGTGATGGGAAAGTTAATTGCTCCCCTGTAGTAGTAACCATTTTGCTATCTGTTTGTACTTTGTAACATCATGTTGCATACCTTAAATATACACAATAAAATTTATTAAAACAATAAAACTAAGCAAGAGCCTGCCTCCGGTGTACTCAAGGCCCTGCAGCAACTCAGATTCCTTCAGGGAAAGCTTACCAGTGGCCTGGGGGGCGCTACATAATCCACCCCCAGCTGTTCCTCTCTCTGGTCACCACTGTGCCCCCTGCTCCCAGCAGACCCAGCACGATGGCCTCTCTTCAGCAGGCCAGGTGGGCCCTGCCTGGGCCTCTGATCTCCAGGGAATGTTTCTCCCCGATATCTGCATGGCGGTTCCCCCAATCCTTCAGGTCTGCTCCCACAGGGTGTTTTGTAGAGATGGCTTGAAACAGACACCCTTACTCAACCCTTGACCATGCAAGCTCTGAGGAGCCACTTGTGTCCCTGTGGCTTTGCCACAGCCAGATCTCTCTGGTCAAGAGGATGTGGGGAGTGGGTGACATGTGGAAGGAAACTGAGGCCAGGCACTGCATAGAGAAGCAACAGTTTGTTTGCTGGAAGGTAGGGGACACATTCTCAAGACATTGATGTATTTGTCCAGTACTTCAATACTTTTTTCTCAACTCTTGTTTTCAGAGCTTTGTGGGAAAGCTGTGGATAGTTGGGACCCAAAGGTCGTTTTCAGTTTCAGGATCCTGTGGCCAAAGAGAGGAGATAAAAATGTTTGGGGCCATTTTACCATCTACATTACCTAATTGAGTAGCTATTATTTCATGAGGTTGACAACAGCAAAATATAAGGAGATGCTTAAACTCTTTAGTAACTGGAGGATCATAATTAAAACCATAATGAGATACTGCTTTAACTCGAGGCAAGTGGGGTGGTGGTGGTTCGGGCGGGTGATGGGAACTGCAGCACTAGGTGATGTTGAAGTCTGAGTGACAGTAGCACATTAGGTGAGCTTAGAGGTGCTGTGAGGAGTGTAGAATGAGGCCGCTGCTTTGGAGTGCAGTCTGGGGTCAAACTAAAAGGCATACCTTGGAGAAACTGTGGGTTTGCTTCTAGGCCACTGCAATACAGCAAATACTGCAATAAAGCAAGTCCCATGAAATGTTTGGTTTCCAAGTGGATATAAAATGCTTTTATAGGCTGTACTGTAGTCCACTAAGTGTGTAGTAGCATTATGTCTAAAATAGCCAATGTATGTACCTTAATTTTAAAATACTTTGTTGCCAAAAAATGCTAATAATCATCTGAGTGTTCAGTGAGTTGCCATCTTTTTGCTGGGGGAGAGTCTTGCCTCAATGTTGGTGGCTGCTGACTAATTAGGGTGGTGGCTGCTGGAGTTTGGGGTTGCTGTGACAATTTCTTAAGACAATGAAGTTTGTCACATCAATTGACTCTTCCATTGAAAAGACTTCTCATAGCATGTGATGCTGTTTGATAGCATTTTACCCACATAACATCTTTAAAAATTAGTCACTCTTGTCAAACCCTGCCACTGCTTTATCAACTAAGTTGATGTCAATTCTAAATCCTTTGTTGTCATTTCAACCATGTGCACAGCATCTTCACCAGAAGTATATTTCATCTCAAGAAACCACTTTCTGTGTTCATCCATAAGAAGCAACTCGTCATCCATTCACATTTTCTCATGAGACTGCAGCAATTCAGTCCCATCTCCAGGCTCCACTTCCAATTCTCGTTCTCTTGCTGTTTCTACCACATCTGCAGTGACTTCCTCCCCTGAAGTCTGGGATTCCCTCAGAGTCATCCATGAGGGCTGAAATCAACATCTTCCAAACTCCTGTTCGTGTTGCTGTTTTGACCTCATTCCATGAATCATGAATGTTCTTAGGGCATCTAGAATGGTGAATCCTTTCCAGCAGGATTTAAAAATTTTTTTTCCCAGATCCATCAGAGGAATCACTGTTCAAGGCAGCTGCAGCCTTATGAAATGTCTTAAATAATAAAATTTGAAAGTTAATTATGGAAGTTAACTTGAAAGTTAATAAGACTTGAATGTTGTGTTAATAGGTATTTTAATATTTTAATGGACTTAAAATAGTAAACCATCCTGTAAACAGATGTGCTGTCATGTAGGCTTTGTTGTTTCATTTATACAGCACAGGTAGAGTAGATTGAGCACAATTTCTAAGGGCCTTAGAATTGTTGTAATTGGTGAATGAGCATTGGCTTTAATTTGAAGTC